GTGATCGCTCCCCTCAGAGAACAAATGATATGTCGAGCGAAAAATCGACTAGATTATACGATTATTACACGGAAAAAGTTGCTGAATTTCAGATTGCCAAAAATGACAACTCCTCTATGAAACAAAAAATCAACGATTATCTCACTGATGTAGCTCAAAGAATTCACCAACTGAACACCATCTATAATGTTACCAAAAATAGGTAGGTTTCTTACTGATACCCTGTTCATACTCAGAACAATATTTGCAGATGGCATGCTTTTCTTATCTATTTTGGATATTCTGTTAATGAGATCCCAGATCAGAATCCAAATGATGTGTTCAAGATGGTAAATATAGCATAACCGTTCTTTCTTGTGTAAGTGGCGAAAAGAAGTGCATTGCAGGTGACTGAGTTTGCGTTAGAGTATCGCACTACTCGTGAAAAAATCCTGCAACAAAGAAAGCGAATGGCTGAGAAACGTGAAAGAAACAAAACCAGGTAACTACATCAATTTGCTGAGTGTTCCAGAGTGTTTCAATTATAGAGGAAAGATTTGGGCGCTTGAGCAACAGCAGGACAATAGCGAATCAAGTAGACGGCGCCGTCCTCCAAATGCACAAAATTCTTTGCAGGTTTAAACAGTTGGAATTATCGCTTAGAAGATTATTTGAATTTAGCGACACGAAGAAATGTCTCGTATGCTAACAGGATTACCGGATAGTGGTGATGGAACTCTACGAAGACGTGCTCGTGCTGTTGCTGACGCTAATGTCAGTAAAGGTATGATTGCTCATGGAAAATCTCAATACTGTGAGCATGAATGCTTTGTGGTGTCTTGCTTGCATGATTGATATGGTAGGATCGAAAAATTTTTATGAAAGCTCTAAGTGCCTGTACTCGCATAATCTTCATAGTTTGTTCTTGCTAGCTCAGTTTGCATACCAAATCCGATGCCATACATTACCCGTGGGCAGCAAAAAAGTTAACAATCTGTTATTTGGAGCAGGATCAAGGCCCTGGCACAAAGTTAACAAAGGGACTCTTGTTGAACGTTAATTTTTGCCATTTTCTAGTTTTTTCATCTCTCGCTCAATTGCGCTAACGTGCGGGTCTTCAAATTCGGTTTCCTCCTCAAGGGTAGGCGATTGCTTGCTGTCGTGGCTAACTTGATCTCGGCAAAATGGCCGGGAGAGGGAGGGCGTGAGCTTTTGCGAAATGAATATTAGGTGTGAAATAGATTGTGGAGTTCAAAGAATCTACGACTGGAAGTTTCTCCACTATCAAGTTGACATTATAGGTGGCAACTGTCACCCCGATTTGGAAAAAAAGGACACGCTCATTTGCATGAGTTTCTCGTGTGATTTCATTCATTGTCCTTTTCTCTCCTCCGCGACCGTATACATCGTATTAGGAGCATTTGCTTGTGCGTTCACGAATAATTTTTACAATTTTCATGGAAGAAAAGCAGTCGGAGTTGCCTTTCAAGATCTGATGTTTGCTGTTATTTGAGGCCTGAAACGGTGATTTCCAATTTGTTTTTCGCATTTGCGGTACATTTCTCGAGGAGGAGAGAAGAAAATCTTGGGGGCCGTAGTCGGTGAGTCGCAAGTGCGATTGAGAGTCTCGTTATTACGCGCAAACCCTCTCTCTTACTTGATCGCACCTTCTTTTGTAATTCCTTTTCCAAAAATGTTTTGCAATAAGATAAGCAGAATTGGAATCATAGGCCCCGCAAAATAGTGAACATCTCATGTTGAAAGCCCAAACGAAAGCTGGCAACCTTTACTCACATGATTACTCCGCAAACTATTCAAATCTACCTGTTCCCTAAACCTTTGTTCGTTTACATTTGGTGCATAGGACTCGGCGCAATTTTTGGCCACTCCAATGCGCTTCAACAATGGAAATTTGCTCCTTTCAGATCTACCCGACCCAGCAAATGACTCACCGGAAGACGAAATCCTGAACGGCTTAGTAAAAGCTGCCACACTTCAATCGGAAACGCGAGATCATCGGCGGAAGGCGCGACAGTTCAATAGAAAATCTTGTGGGTTGAGCTAAACCCGCAAGCAAAGTTTATGCACTACCATAGTTTCAGTACGTCGAACTAGGACCTTGAAACTTGTCGATGGTCAGTTGGAGACAAACTACTGAGCTGCTATTCGGATTACTGGAAGGGGTTCAACTTAACATCTAGTCGCTGTACACTGCCTTAATGTTATGTTCTGTTGCTGAAGTCACGCTAGGACTGGTACATTTTTTTGGTTTCAATGCAGTGTGCATAATTCCAGGCATTTTCTCTTGTTTTTACTCCCATTTACTACATGTTCCAAATGCAGTGCCAAATTTTACGTTTAACTGCTGAATATCCAGTTGAAAAGTGCCCTGTGACTACGCAGTTTTTTACACTGTACAAAAAGTATATCAAATGAAGTTTTATCCAATATTCCCGTTTTCTTTTGTATACATTAATTTGTGCATTTTATGTAAAGTGTTCGCTCACTGCTGTTCAAACAGTCATGAGTCAGGACCTGGCACGGACATGGTAAATGACAATCGTCATTTACCAGGACGTGGT